ATTTCTTGCTCAAATAATCCTAACGCCGTTGATCACCGTTCGGGCATTAGAAAGTTCTGATGAGTTATTTAAGGAAAAAATCCCTTCCCCCTGGTACTCAGCCGTTCGGGCTTCATACCAAATTTTAGGACTTGCACATTCTTGCTTCAGATATTCTCTTACAACTTGATAGCCGGTCGGGCTTTAGTTCAATCCTCAGGCTATCTTTTTATGACGTTGGTAGCCGGTCGGGCTTTAGGTCAACTTTTAGGACTCGGCAGTTTTCCTCCAGATCTCCTTTTACAATACTGTTGGCCGGTCGGGTTTCAGACCGACATTTAGGACTTAGCATTTTTCTTCCAGATAACCTTTTACAATACTGTTGGCCGGTCGGGTTTCAGGCCGACATTTAGGACTTAGCATTTTTCTTCCAGATAACCTTTTACAATACTGTTGGCCGGTCGGGTTTCAGGCCGACATTTAGGACTCAGCATTCTTCTTCCAGATAACCTTTTACAATACTGTTGGCCGGTCGGGTTTCAGGCCGACATTTAGGACTTAGCATTTTTCTTCCAGATAACCTTTTACAATACTGTTGGCCGGTCGGGCTTCAGGTTGACATTTAGGACTTAGCGTTTTTCTAAACAGTAAGCCCCTGTGATCTTTGCTGATCCTCTGTAAGCCCGCCCGGGGTACGTGCATAAAAAGTGAATCATAAATGCCCCAAATTAATCGTAACCACCCAATGCCACGTGTTGCTCATGGATTAGGGATTTGTGCGGCACTTTCCCTATTTATAGAGAGGTGCTTCCCCTAATTTCTCCTGCTGTTTTCTCATTTTTCTTTCGAGCTTTCTCTCTCTAGAATTCCTTTACACACTCTCAAGCCCTCTTTCTCTAGAGTTCCCAAATTTCCTCCAGCGTTTTTGTGTACTACTCCTCTAGCTCAGAATCTGAAGAGATGCCTTTGATCCATAAGAGCAAAACGTCCGCTGGTAACCAGGCCGAAGGCTCTTCGTCCCAAACACCCAAACCTGCCAATACTCAGGTCAGCAAACATACCGAACAGCCGCAGGAGGATGGATGCCTCTCGGGAGATGACCTCCAGGTTTACAACAAGAGGATGCCCGAACGGCCACCCCGCATTCCCCTACATTTCAATCGCATACGCAAACACAAATAACGTCTCCCAGAAGATGTTGAACGGCAACTTAGCCAGTTGTTGCCCCCACCAAGAGAATACTATGCCGGATTCATTCGGCATCCTATGAGGCACAGACCGGGGCACGTGCTAGTGCACCTCGATGCCCTGACTGCTGGACTTCGGTTCCCTCTCCACTCATTCATAGTGGAGTTCTTACACCGGGTTGCTGTACTGCCCGCTCAGTTCGTGCCCAGTACCTACCGTATTCTGACAGGCTTCATTATCCGGTGCCACGAGTTGAGGATCACCCCGAGCTTCGATCTATTTCTTTACCATTACTGCTATCAGCCCTACTGGACGACCGGGTACTTGAAGCTGGTAGCCCGTTCTGACCGTCAGCTGTTCACAGAGAACGTTACCCCGCAGGCTGACTGGGAAGAGCGGTTTTTGTTCATTCGGGTAGGTGATTCTTTGCCATTCCCGGACCGGTGGAACGCATATCCCGTCCGGGATTCCCTGCCCAGGGTGGATGCCGTTCTACGCTCCCAGGCTGAGTCTCTGCGAATGGGAGGGACCAGAAGTCTTCGCAGCTTTGTCACTGCCTCGAGCATGTTATCTGCTGGAATTGGTAAGCATAGTAGGGTTTTAACCCGATCATCCTTTGCTCTCGCAATTCAACTTTCTTATTTTTTATTTCTCTTTCTTGTAGGCGTGATCTCTCCCATACCCGTCCGGCGTTCCATCTCCTCTGCTAAAGGGAAAGAGAAGATGATAGCCGATCGTGATTCGGTGGAGCAAACCCGAAAAAAGCGCAAAGGAAATGATGGCGATCATCTGATCCCGATCGACCATCTGGTTGACTTGACCGGGCCGGAGGTTGAGCCCAAACGATCAGTACCTGCCAACAAACCAACTCCGGTTCTTACTGCCACACCGATCGATGATCGGATGTTCGTTGAGTTCTCAAATATGGGGCCCAGATCGGAAGGGAGGTATCTGTTCGGGTTGATGCCATCTTTTATGTGGTGTCATACCGCGATCAAAGTTCCCCCGAGCTTCACTAACTTGACTCACTGGTCGGACCTTTTCGAAGCAGGTCACCAGGAAGCACTCAAGGTACATTTCAGTCCGACCCATACCTTTCTATTACTCATGCTTTACCTTTCCTGACTTTCATTGTAACCTTGTTTTCAGGCTGGCGTGTACTATCACAAAGCCTTTCTCGCTGCTGAGAAGGAGATGAAAGCCCTGGCCAGTGATCGGGATGACGGCCAGGTCCTTCTTTCAGCCGCTCGGAAGTTAGCGACCGACCTTCAGGAGCAGGCCAAAGAGGGTGAGAAAGCAAAAGCTGCCCTGGCCAAGATGCAGGAGACGTCCTGTCGTCGCGACCGGGAGCTCAAAGAACTCCTGGCCAAGGTGCGGGCTGTTGAATCTGCTGGCATTAAATTTGATAAGGCTGTCGGAGATCATCTGCCCGAACCTTACACGGTCAATACCTCTCAGATTGCTCAGCAATCGGTAGTGGATTTCCAACGGGGCAAGGCGCTGAACCTCGCTCTGGAGAATACGGCCCGGCAATTCCTAGGTCCTCAACTTGGCCAATTTTTGCGTGAGAGCTCAGATCCCATCAAGGCAGGGATCGACCTCCTGGACAGCACGCCGGAAGGGAAATCTTTCTTGGATGTCCTGACCGAGAAAACCGTCAAGCAAAGTCAGGACTTGCTTCTGGATAGGAATCTTGAACTGATCTTAGAGCGTTTCCCCAAACCGTTCGATCCTGATGAACTAGGCTTCGATGATCTGTTCGGGAATACGTATGATCGCGTCATGGAGAAAAGATCCAAAGCAGCGCCTGACGATGCAGTGCAGGCAGGGAGCTCTCAGCCTACATCCTCCCCGAATGGCGATCATCCATTAGCATAGCCTTCCTTATCTGTTGTCTCCTTTCTTGTATATTTGTTTTTGTATATTCCGGCTAGTAACGCCGAAGAATAAATTGGACTTTTTCCTTTGTTGCGCTTTTTCTATTCCTTTGATTTTGTCCACAATCTTTTCTACATTGCCGAACCTCACTCGGCTTATGTATCTTTATATCTGACACCTTTTCCGAACCCGTTTTGATCCTTTTTCCTGTTCGTGACGCACGGGTTCAAAACTCTTAGCTGAGGTGAATTCCTCCAAGCCGTTTTGATCGTGACCACAGGGTCAAACTCTCGGCTGGGATAGGGGCTCCCTCCAAACTGTTAACACGTTCGACATTCGGTCATCCGGAATGACTTCACGTGTTAACAAGCTGAGGTGAGACTCTCTTCATAATTGTTCTGACACCTTCCCGAACCCGTTTTGATCCCTTTTCCTGTTCGTGACGCACGGGTTCAAAACTCTTAGCTGAGGTGAATTCCTCCAAGCCTTTTCCAATATATATATATATATTGGAAAGAGAAAAATTCTCCCGCCTAAGCATTCTCCGCCTAAAATCTAATAAAATGTTATTTCACTTTCCGCAAAAAAAATCATCATCATCCTATATATATATATATATATGTGTGTGTGTGTGTGTGTGTGTGTAAAAGCACTACACTGGAGAGATAAAATTCTCCCGCCTAAGCATTCTCCGCCTAAAAATCCTAAAATGTAATTTTACTTTCCGCCAAAAAAATCATCCTATACATAAAAGCACTATACTGGAGAGAAAAAAATTCTTCCGCCTAAGCATTCTCCGCCTAAAATCATAAAATGCAATTACACTTTTCACACAAAAAAAATCATCATCCTAAAATCCTAAAATGTAATTTCATCCTATACCTAAAAGCACTATATTGGAGAGAGAAAATTTTCCCGCCTAAGCATTCTCCGCCAAAACTCCTAAAATTTAATTTCACTTTCCGCAAAAAAAAAAATCATCATCCTATACCTATCCCTAAAAGCACTGCACTGGAGAGAGAAAATTCTCCCGCCTAAGTAATCTCCGCCTAAAATCCTATACCTAAAAGCACTACACTGGAGAGAGAAAATTCTCCCGCCTAAAATCATAAAATGTAATCACACTTTCCACAAAAAAAATCATCATCCTATAATCCTAAAATCCTAAAATTTAATTTCATCCTATACCTAAAAACACTACACTGGAGAGATAAAATTCCCCCGCCTAAACATTCTCCGCCTAAAATCCTAATATGTAATCTCACTTTCCGCAAAAAAATCATCCTATACATAAAAGCACTGTTCTAGAGAGAGAAAAATTATCCCGCCTAAGCATTATCCGCTTAAAATCCTAAAATGCAATTACACTTTCCACACAAAAAAATCATCATCCTAGAATCCTAAAATGTAATTTCATCCTATACGTAAAAGCACTATATTGGAGAGAGAAAATTTTCCCGCCTAAGCATTCTCCGCCTAAAATTGTTAGGTTTGCAATGGTCATTAATAAGATTCATGGACAATCGTTGAAAAAAGTTGGTATCTTACTCTGAAGCCCCATTATTACTCACAAACATTTGAATGTGGCGGTGCAGAGAGTAACATGTTCATGGGATTGGAGTTTGTAATGAAGAAGATACAAAACCAACCAAATCAACATTGAATGTTGTTCACAAAGAAATATGTACTTTAGAGTAATTTATAATTTCCGTTATAATGCGGTGGACTTAAATGCGCATCCATTTCATCGTGTGATGTTTTACATTTAGTTCTTACCATTTATTCAGAATTTATATAATGTTTTCAAATAATTCTAACACAATCATATTTTTTAAATATTTTTAAATATACTCCCCCGTTTCTGAAACAAGTTCCACATTTGACTTCACACATATTAAGAAAATAAATTTGACTTTACTGTGGAGTGCACTGTTTGAACACTGTTTGACATTGTTTGGCACTGTTAGAACACTGTTTGACACTGTTTGACACTGTTTTGATGTAGATAATTTGTCAAATAAGGAAATGTTTGAAAGTGGAACTTAATTTTGAAGCTGCCCGAAAAGGAAATGTGGAACTTGTTTCAAAAACGGAAGGAGTACAACAATATCTAAGTTATTGTGTCGATGTCTCACTCCCGTGCAGCGCACAAGTGGAGTAACTAGTTTAAAATAGATTATGTGAACAAGCGGGATAGTCATTTAGTAGACAGAAAGAAGAACATTAACACAAACCCAAAAACCATGACAGTTAATATGAAACCCAATCCAAGCCTAGTGGCATTAATCAATTTATATACAGGGTAAATGAAGAAAGGGTGTTCAGTTGGTTTTGTCAAACCATAAATGGAGGAAGGTTGTTGAAATATTATTGGAATCCAAGATAACATTTGAAACGCATAATTCTACCAGGTCAAACCATAAATTTCAGCCCAAAGAATACAAATATGGTTCAAAGAAAACAACTCACTGGGTTCAATTCATTCACTTAAGTAGAGGAAGGTTGTTGGTATATTTCTGTTCATTAGGCAATCGACCACTCCTTCCTCAACTCTGATTTCAAGGCCATTACCTCATTCTCCGGCAAAGCCACTGTCACAACCTTTCCTTCCGCGTCATCGTGTGGTCCAGGAAGCACCACAACACAGCCTTCATCCCCGACGCCATCGATCTGATAGCTTACGTAGACTGGCTTGTGCCCTCTCCAATCGAGCTCGTAGAACTCGTCGCTATCCATGTCGACGAGCGTTAAGTTCGCCCCGTAGAACACGAAATCGGAGCTGCCGCCGTCTCTCTCCACCGCCTCGTCGATCTCTCTGAGCTCGTCCGTAGCCTCATGTTTCAGCAATTTCGCCAGCTCCGACAGATCGGCTTCCCTGACGGAGGAGGAATAAGCGGCCTTCACAGTGCAGATCTGCTGGTCGTTGCTCACATAGTTATTTTTGCCGGCCTGTGGGCCTTTCTTGCAAATTGTCACCACTTTGGGTTCAGGCCCACTTCTATTGCGGGCCACTGATCGCCAAATGATGGCCGATATCAACTCAAATGGACCGTACTCTCCAATTATGGACCTTATGCGGCCCAGTTGTGATGGAGTGATGGAGAAAGTGAATGGTACCATATCGCAATTGTTAGCTATCTTCCAATGATCTCCAACTGGGCTTACCTTCTTGATGGATAGCGGATCTTTTGCTGTTTTTGCAACGTCTTCCTGGGCCAGGTCCTTAGTGATTAATTGGGCCGAACGGATCAGCCATTCAGGTTTGATTCCAGATGTGACCTTTCCAAACATATTCATGAATTTTGCAGCACAGAATGCATCGCCAAGAATGTGCGACCAACTCAGGCCCAATGATACTCCCCCGCACCTAAATTTGGTTAACTGCAAAATTGCAGACGTATACATAAACTGGATACTTAGGTAGTGTTTAGCATAGGTTAAAAGAGTGCTTTAATAGTTCTTAGCTTTAAGAAGACATTTAAAAATAGTGTTTTGAAGTACATGGCCGTCTTTAGGATTATGGAGACCCTAGACAAATAGTGCATCATTGTAATATATGTTAAATTAGTGCATTTAATGACGATGGCACTATAATATAGTGATTTTTAGTCATATTTTTATAAATAAGTTTTTTTAGTAGTTTTCGGAGAAATCTCTATCTATATCACTAGTCACAAAAATAATATACAGAGTATCATATTAGTTGACTAAAACACACAATATGTTAAACGAAGCACAATTGAATATTACAAGATTAAATTTCTTATTGTTAACGTATGCAAAACTCAATAAACATATACTTCCTCCGTCCCATAAAACTTGGTCAATGTTGACTTTTCAATACTTTATTTTTTCTTACTTTTTTTTACTACATGGGGGTCTGGGGGAAGGAGGCCTGGAGTAATTAGGGCTGAAACTCAGTCCAATGAGTTTCAAACTCTTATATGCCTAGCGGGTTTCGAACTCGAGACTTCTCACTAGGCACGGTAACCTCACAACCAGCTGGGCTAGAATGCTTGATTTTTTTCCTTACATTTTAAAGTGCAAAATTGCCAAGAACATATATACAATCAAATCTATCAAAACATTATCTTCAATAGATGACATAACTTACTCACTTAGCCTATCATATGATCTGATTAATCATACATAATTTTTAATCGTTCTAAAAAATAACTATGTGGGTATAATTCAGATTTCAGACTACGTATAAAAGATTACTTTCATAAGTACTTCAATAATTATATACATTCACATCCCAAAGTATCAATATAAGAATGAAGCAAAATTGGAAAACTCAAATAAATTAATAACAACCACACCCAATAACCCTTTAGCCTAAATTTAACAAAATTCTAACTTTTAATTTTTATTTGTGACATTTGCCATTGATTTCATTTGAGAAATCAAATTTAACTAGGATTTAAATTAAATATAAATATATAATAATAATAATTTTTTTAATTTGGAGGCCCTTAAAAGTTAGGGGCCCTAGACAATTGTCTAGGCTAGATGCCCCCATCACCAACCCTGTTGAAGTATTAAGCATTTTAAAGCTAAAAGTTTGATGTGGATTTAAATGGATGAAACTGTTTTTTCATTCTTTTTATTACATAAATTCTTGCCAGGTATTCTAATTTGGTAGATTCTATGGTATACCTTTGTCCACGTGGACCAATCAAAATGATGTAGTTGAATTATTTATGTCTAAATTAAAAATGATGTAATGATTTGAACCAATCAAGTGAGTGGTAAATACGGTACCTCATTTTTAAATGGGTACCGGAGTTGTCACCTTCTAATTTAAAATTTTAGACTTCTTAGAGATGAAAATGTTCTCTTTATGTTTGAATCTAGATCTAATAATTTGACATTTGTGCATAGTAGGAGTTTGCCTTCTATCCATTCACCCTCTTAATATCATTTTATAAAAAAAATGATTTTAATATCATTTTTTTAATATCATTTTTTTTCTTAATATCATTTTATTCGATTTTAAGAATCTTGTGAATTATGAACTTCACATTAGTGAATGAGAGTTTTTTCTTCACGAGTGGTGTAGCAAGATAAAACTTACAAAAACCTATTATGAGTAAGTTTTTTTCACAAATATTGATGAGTGAGCTAGTGAAAGTATGGGCACGTAAAAACAATTAATGGTATGTTTTGTTTCAAGATGAATCTACGTTATTTTAGTTTTTAACTTTAATTTCACCCTGTTTGTTTTTCATTTTGTGACTACGAACAAAATTCTAAACAAAGTTTAGGCTTATTTCAGAGAAGTTACGAAAATCTACATCCAATAACTCAGTTTTAGATCAAGAATCTCCAAATCAGAGTTCAATTTTATCATACATTGAGATGAAATTTCATCTGAACAAACTTTAAGTGCATTCACTTGAATTAAGATAGTAATTACCAAAGGATAATTTTATAGGAGTATTTTGGTTCAGCTGGGTTCACCCAAATTTTTATTAAATTTAAATTCATTGATTTAAGTTGCATTTCAAAATTGATTTTTCTTAGTCAAATAGTTTCATTTCATTCAGTTAACTAGGATGTCAATTTCTAATTATATTCTAATTTGAAGTTTCCAACTTTGAACATATTTTAATGTAAACTCTGAATATGTAAATTTTAATTATTAAAAATTGAATTGAATTCAACTTTAACATTGATTTGATTAAAAAATATTAACTTTGCAAATTAATTTAGAACAGAGGGAGAATGAAAATACAAAAGGTAGCTTAGATACCTGAAGCCAAACAGGGGGAGAGAAGAAGATCTCTGGACCAATGACTCCATTAGGACTAAGAAGCCTCTCAAGCCCAGCATCTTTCATCTCAATCCATTCCTCCAGACTCTTGTCACAAGAGGCCTCAATGAACCTCACCCCACAGTCGTTACACTTGAGGTACGGGCGGCCCGACTCGGTCCGCCTGAACCTCCCGCAAACCACGTAGTAGTGATTCAGCAGCGTGAACAGCGGCTCCTTGATCTTAAGCACGCCCAGCCCATCAAAGGCTTCCTTCTCCAAGTAGTACACCGCTCTTAGGTAGTGAAGCTTCATGGCTAAGTCCACGTTACTAGGCTCGTAGACCTCGTCTTGGCCCGTGACTTGCCCCGGTCCAACCGAAGACAGCCTCAGGTTGTAGATTAGCCCGCTGTCCGGCTGCTGCTTCGCCATTGACACCATTTTCTCCCCTTTTTTTCTTTCCCTTTTTGGGTTTTGGCTGAATAGGGAGAATGTAATAATAGGAGCAGCAGCAGCAGCTGGTATATATGCAAATGGAAGAAGTAGTTGAACGTCATAAATGGGATTTAAATACGAGCCGGCCAAACTCCTCTAATTCATCTGCTCCAGTTGCTAGTAAAGAAAAGAAAAGGGGTTTTAATAAGAGTAAATGGTATTGGTTTGTTATCAATAAATGTTAAATTTTGTCATTATGTTAAATTTTGAATAAGAATAGTTATGACTTATGTGTACTACCTCCGTTTTAAGTAAATGTTTTGGTTCACTACTCTTGTCTCTCGGGTCAATAAATTATTTTTAATCTTTTATTATATATATCCAACTTTTATCAAAACTGATGTTTTTGTGACTTTACAAAACTTTTAATGTATTTTTTGAATATGTAAATTTTATTTACTAAAAAATAATGAGTTAGCTTTATGCCTAACCAAACAACATAAATTAAATGAGAACCTTTACTCGGGACGGAGAGAGTATGTCATTCTCATAAGTATAAGTTTTATACTTTTGTGAAAATATTTTTGGAGTATCCCGAAAAAGGAGTAAAAATGTTCTTGAATTCATAAATATGAATGTCACGTTTTTATTTCCTAAACAGGAGTAATTAATGTAGGTTAGAAAACTATGTCATATTTAAAGTCTAGTAACAATTAACTACTCCTATTTTGGAAATAAAAATATGTTAGTTGTATTTTGGAATTCGCAAAAGGTTTTGCTTTTTACTTCTATTTAGGACAACTTAAGTATTTTTAATAAAGAACACTAGTATGTTGGTCAAAGTTTAACCACTACTAGATTTTAACCCTTTCCCTTCAATGTTTTTGCATACAAAATTAGTTTTGTTGGTAAAGATGTACTTTGCCCACAAAATAAGTGCTTTATAGGTACTTATCCTTCCATACAAATTTTCTTCTCCATACAAACAGAATGTGTGGGCTAAGCTCTCATATTCCTAAAAAGCAATATTTTTTCAAAAATGATGTTTGTACACACTCTTATACACACTTTTGTACACACTCATGTCTGTGAAAGCTTTTTTTTTTGTCTGTGAACATCGATTCATAGACAATGTTTTGCACAAACAAAATATTGTCTGTGAATCGGATTCACAGACAAAAAAAAAAGCTTCACAAACATGGTGTGTATAAGGTGTGTACAAGGGTGTGTACATCAAGCATGGTTGATATTTTTTAGGGATAGAACTTTGGCCATAAATTTTTTGTATCACAAAATCAAATTTGTACACAATTTTTTTTTTGACAAGAAAAAGTTTGCTGTACGGATATATGTGTTTATCTTTATTTATAGGTTTATTTTTCAAAGTTATCATATAGTACCATTATTATGATTGATAGTTATGGCATTTTTTCATGGATATTATCAAATTAAATTCAAAAGGAAAAAACATAATTTACTTTAAAACTTTTCAAAAAAAAACTTTTCAAGAAAATGACATTTTCGGTGACTAGTTTTCAGTGTCTTGTTATTTCCAAGTGACTTGTCATTTTGAAACACACTAGTGTCACGAAAAGACTTACCCATTTTTACCTTAAGTTGTATTGTTTTTTTAACAATAAAAAGTAATAAAATATTGTTAAGTCAACGCAAATTGGAGTTTTGAAGCCGAGACTTTCTGTACAGGAGAGTGAGTCGGCGACCAACTTAGTTGGGCCGCTTCTTCTTGTTAATTTTATTCTTTAAATTGTTAGGTCAACGCAAATAAAGTGTACCAATTTCATTCCTTAATTTGTTTATACGTTTTATTCATATTTTAGACCACTTATTAAGTAAGAAAAAATGTAAATTTATGGAGCGTCTTGAGAATGCATACGTTAGATCCATTTGCAATATTTCATACATTTTGAGCTTCATTAATAAGAGACGGATGAATGTAAGCATGGTTGTTATTTATGAATGACATTGATTTGCTATCTATAAATCTTTGCAATCAAAGAGAGGGTGTATTGTCCCTTTAATTAAAGGACCCTTTTTAATGAGAAAGAGATAGATAATCTCTCTTGGCTCAAATAAACACATCATTAGGACGGAGCAACACTTGTTGTATACTGTGGGGTCCATTATATGTATAGGGATACTACATCTATTGTAGATGTTAATCCTCCGCCAACGAAATACTCCCAACGAAATACTCCCTCCGTCTCAATTTACTTAGCCATCTTTCACGTTTCCAGTTGTTGAGGTTTAATCCCGTAGATCCGAAAGTCCAACACAAACTTTGGATATATCAGGAAATGGAACGATAATTCAGTGTATAAGAGAAATATAAAAGATGAGATCAACGAATACTCAAAAGCCCACTTGTATTAAGTAATTTGGCTATTACACGGTAAACTACCTGAACGGTATGTCGGAATAGTAACTAATACAAGAAATCGGAGAGATAATGCTATTCTAGGCTTGAGTATGAAAATGCTAACCCTTTACAACGAAACTAATCCTTCTATTTATACTAATGGGGGTATGGGGTACTTCATGTTGATTGGTTGCTTTATCTAGCCACTTGGAACCCATGCTCCCACTAATTGCCGTCATACTTTAGCAATAAATGCTCCCTACCACTTGTTGGCTACCCGCTGACCGAACAGGCAGTGGACCCTGCTGGAATCTTCATTGATCTGGCCCAAGTCCATTGATTAGACCGAACCTCGTTCGGTACATTTGATCTGGAGTCATCATTGATTTGGCCCATTAATGATCTGGCCCAAGTATGTTAATTGATCCGAACCTCGTTCGGCACATATTCTCCCAAGAGCTGGTTCATCTTCTGGATGATGGGCCCGTCTAACGGGCAGGATATCTTCGGTCTTGGATCCGGGTATTGGGCCCGCGGCCCAATATCCCAACACCAGTCAAAGGTGGTAAACTTTGACCAATTATTTAAACTAATACTCCCTCTGTCCCAATTTGATAGTCTCATTTCTTTTGGGCACAAGTTTTAATAAAGTGGTTGAAAAGGTAAAAGTTGTGGTTGAGATTTGAGTATAATAAAGTGAAATGATATGAACCACATCTTTCTTTCCAAAAAGGGAAACAGGACCATCATTTTGGGACATCCCAAAAAGGAAATACATGACTATCATTTTGGGACGGAGGGAGTATATTTATGCAAAATTTAATAATTATATACTTTTATGATAGTATTTTTAACAAAGAACATTTTCATATCATTTTCATATTATTAATATTTTCTCTATATAAATATATAATCGGTCAAAGTTAGACGTCATTGACTTGAAAAGTCAAGTTTGGCTAAGTAAAATGGGACGGAGGGAGTAGCTTATTACATGTGGAAATTAAAAAAAAACATTTACAAGGCTATTTCGACAAGGAATATTTTATTCCCCCCATGTCATAGCTTTATAATTCGGAGTAAATTGATCATTCAATTTATCGTTGAATAAATTGCTGAGCTCAATTCAATTATCTAGCCTCATATTTCGAACGAGAGATATTGAAGAGTTAGTATGAGACTAGCAGAAAATCAAAGTTTTCCAGACCCCTTATCTTTTACTTCGTCTAATAAAGTGACTAATAAGCATACAAAGAACAACAAAAAACTTATTTCTCACAATTCTTTTATTATTGCATTAGCAGGTGCGGCATCATTGCGGGGTTAGCAAGTTGGACCGCTATTAAGCGTGATTTCAGCTCTAAGTCTCATCCCAGTGTAGTCTTTGTTACGCTGAATTTGTATATCCTGAATTGAGTCCCAAATGCATATTTAAACATTGAAAGAATAGGGTTGGAATAGATGTGTTGAATTCCGACAAAAAGCAACAGGTCATCGTAAAATATAGTGGCAATCGATCGCATCGTACAATCGAATATTTTATGTTAAAAGAGATTAAGATACAGAACATTTAAACAAAATGAGTATTGATATTAAATTGCAAAATTAACACAATAAATATTTTGATGATAGTGGCAAATCTTTTAAAGTGGTACTCACCGGCCTATGAAATGGGAAGTTGAAATAATGAATGCATAATTTTGACTTTTAATCCGTTAATTTGATCTGCTAGCTTCCTTCCATGCCGCATCTTCAAGATTTGTGGCATTTGATAAATTATGCGTTAAATGCACCCATCGAGGCGAAACATATATACGAGCTATCACTGGCTAAGTAATTGTAGGTTGCTGTCTGCAATAAATGGAGGTAGCTATGGAAGGATCCTAGTGGTGTGTCCTTTGGGACAATTGGCGAGTCATGCATTATTAATTTTTGGGGAAATTGCCCAAAATAGGAGCAAATGAGGTTTGAAATTCCAAAATAGGACTAATATGTTTTTCTTCCCGAAATAGGAGATGTTACTGTCATGTATGAAAAATATACTGTCATGATTGAAAAATACTGTCATTATTTTTAATAAATACTGTAATGTTAAATTCACTGTACTATAACTATTTGGCAGTTGACGTCTACAAGATTAAATACTCTCATGTTAGTCCCATTTCAGGAATAAAAATATTGTAGTCCTATTTTTGAATTTCAAACTTCATTTACTTTTATTTTGGAAAATCTCCATTAGAACTTTGGCTACTGCGTTAACAAGACCCTACACAAAATGCTATAGTGTTACCGATCAATCCCCCTCCCACTAGGGGTGAGATGGGTCCGGTCCGGCTCGGATTTTTGCTAAACCCGGAAATTACCCGTAAGGTATCGGGTTATGAAAATTAGGGGCCGAAACAAAGCCCACTATATTCGGTCCAAGTCGGGTTTTTTGTAGTCCAGGTTCGGTCCGAGTTCGGGTTGGGCCGGTTAAAGCCCGAATGTGAAATCACTCATTTTTCTTTTATATTTTCAAATCTATTTTCAAATAAAATTAAGAAAAACTACAAACTGCAAATAAAATTAATAAAAAGCACAAATATTAGTCTCCAAAATCACCGAGAATTCAAATCCAAAGAAGATAATTATCATAATGTTTTGTTTAAGATGCGTAAAAATAAAGAATATAGGTGCTCAAAAAATGTTATGAAATAAAATTTATGGATA